ACACGTAGGGTTGCTGTAAGTAGGGTCACCAAATTTGGCGATTTATGCGAATTTTTGCCTGGTTGCGTTAATACGTAAGTACCACACTTCCTTTCATAGTGATTGGTTAAGTGAATTCCTGTACTAACGAGAAAATCGTTCCGTGTGGACAGGCGAGCTATCTCAAATATTGTCGGCCAGATAAGTTGGCCGAGAAAATCGCTACGTGTAGACGGGCCTTTAAAGCTTCCGTCCATGGAACAAGATGTTTGTCATTTATATTTTAATTTTTAAAGAGACCATTTAATGAGTTTTATGTTTTAGGAGCTTTAGCTAGAAAATATCTGTTGTCAAACATTGCCAAACTGCCTAATTTGATACATAGTGTCAGGTTTAAGAAATTTTCATAACATTTTGCCTGTATCAGGAAGAAGTTAAATGCCTTCAGCACTGAAAAGAAAACCATCAAATTTAACAGAGGGTTTTTCCAAACACAAATTTATCAGGATTTAAGACCAGGAAGGGAAACCTTTTAAACAGGAAAAAACTTTATGCAAGAGTTCAAGATGCTCAGACATAGAGAAGATGCAATCAGTAAGTCATTAAAATGGGATACACAAAAAGTCCAAATTAACCCCTTTGCGTTGGGTAGTGCAAATTAGTGCTTATCGCGGAGGCCGGCAGCATATTACGCGAGCGTCTGTCCAGGGCCAGGTGCTTTTTTGCTATTAACCCCTTCGCGCCGACTGTCACGTATATGTGCCAGCAACGAACACACTTATCTACCGGCCGACACGCAGGCGTGTTTCATGGATTCGGCTTAGTAGCATTTCGGAGATTTCATGGATTTAGGCTTAGTAGCAAAAAAGCCCCCGGCCCTGGAGAGACGCTCGCGGAAGACACTGCCGTCCTCCGCGATAAGCGCACGTTTTCGCTACCCGGCTCGAAGGGATTAAACCTAAATCCATGAAATTTCCGAAGTATCAACGCATTGTTTAATAATGCTCTATAGAGTTCTTAAATGGCTTATGCTTTATAGATATTTTAATATATACTTTAATTACCTTATTTCTTGTTTAAATGCATATTTTACACATTTTATTTTCATTACTCACCATTTTATGACTTTTAACATTATACATCTGAAAACTAAATATATTACTTAAAATTCTCTTTTCGTATGAAAAATTTGAAAACAGGGATCTACACACAGTCCTACGTTACATTCCTTGCACTCGTAATAACTCATTTGCCATTTTGGAGGATTTTTCCGGTAATGTGAACAAACGAAGCATCATCGTCTCATTTTCTTATCAGTCTCTTCTGAACAAAGTTTTGGAAAATGTCTTTCAGTTAATCTGAGCGGATTTAATGATTCTGCTGATCTTGGTGTGATATTAACATTGGTGCTTTTAGAGGAATACTGATAAATAATTTGATTAACTAAATTAAGCCGAAAATTCAGGAGAGAAAGATTTTTTTTTTACTTTTTTTGTTGAAAAGAGTACTGGCGTTAAATACAGCCACATCCATGATATTGAAGAAAAGCTTCTTATACCATTTAACAGTTTTTCTGAAAGATGGGTAATGAATAATGACGGAATTGCAAATTCTGCAAATTTTCTATTGTGGATGACCATGGAGAAGTACTTGCTTTCGACGTACTTGGCATACAGATGTCCAAAATGTCCTCATCATCATTAGATTCACCAGATTCTTTATGATCAGAATGTATCATAGTATCATTATCACTACTATCAGAATCTGTTTCAGAATCAATATCTGAAATATTTTGCATCATTTCTGCTATTTCATGCTCTGTTAAACATTTACGACGCTTCGACATTGCAACGGTAAAAACAGAAAGAATTCACGTCTAACAAGATCTAATTATTTTCTAAAAACTGAACTGCAAACCAAAATACCCAACGCTTTAGCAAAAATAAAACTTCTGTACTTACAATAAACAACTACCACATGTGAATTTAAAGAGACGTCATAAATCATGCCATTCGGAAACATTTATTTCCCCTTTTGTTTATATAATCAAAAACGTGTATGTGAGTCATGCTTCTCTCATTTCGAGTAGAAGGTCTAATGTACATGTATCTGAAACCATATGGACATACAGTGCCATCCTGTGGCAGAAATTATAGTTTTTAAAACGTTCCAAGACACTGGCACAAATACGTGACAGTCAAGGCTGAACGGGAAAACGCTCTGGCATGCCTGCCTGTCGGCCGGGAAGTGAGTGTGTTCGTTGCTGGCACGTAGATGTGACAGTCGGCACGAAGGGGTTAACTCCTACTTGGTATATATATCTTTGAGGTATTTGTCCGGTGCTTCCAAGTTCAAATGCTAATGAGGTATACTCAAAAAAACTAGATGGGTTTAATAGGGTTGCCACTCAAACAAGAGAATGAAAAATGAAATTCCCTGACTTTTCCAGGTTTACCAGATGTGTTTTAAGAAAATTCAGTCTATCTGCATAATGCCCATGAGCTGTTCTAAAAGGTAAATTAATTATGTTATTACTTAAAACATAAAAATTCACCAATTACATATTGATTTTACATATAATCCCCCTATTATAAGTATAGGATATAATAGGAGTTATTTTTTTCCACAGATGTCCAATCTGGATTATTTTTTTCGGGGGGGGGGCTGACATTTTTCAACTAAAAGAAGAAGGAAATCTATTTAATGATATTTTTAAATAAATTCAGGTATCTTATATTTATTCAGCAGCATACATAAGCAAAAAATATGTGCATTAAATTCTGTGGTAGTATGTCATCATACTGCTAGAATTAGTTTCAGAATTATGCCAGAGAAACTTTCCTGAAATTTGAAAGTATTATTTACTAATAAAAAAATCGACTTAGAGGGAAGAAGCAACATTAAATGATATGGGTAACATAAAAAAAAAAAAAAAAACACTTAAAATCTGAATTAGAATAATCAACGATATTTTGGCGAATATAGTTAGTTATATTAAATGGTTAGCCTGGATGTCTAATTACAAATTTTTATTTTACTGCAAAATGACATATAAAACATTTTTTAAAATGGAAAAAAGGTTTAGAAGATTTTGTGGGAAAATCCTAGCAGTATACACTTCAGTGCCCTTGGAATGATCTTGAAAATTGTCACCAGCACCTAAATGTTTACTGCTCATCATGTCGCCAGCTCCCGTGTGTACCGCACATGGAGGTTAGAATAGAATACATGAACCTCCATAGTACCGTATACTAGGATTAAATTGATTTTGTTTTATACGAAAATACGTATTTCTTTAGTTAAACATGCACTGTACATGCACATGCAAGTGTCTCGATTCTCGACATTACTGGAAACCAGAGTTTCTGGAAACTTACTTTGCCTTTCTAAAAGACAATCTAATTGGAGCTGCGAAAATTGGCTCTATGCCAGATGCCCATATGACGTTAACGCGATACATAATTCGCCAAGAAACTGATCACTTCCAACGTTGGCTCAAAACTCGTTTTTTTTAGGTGGGAATCACCGTATGAAATTCCCCGATTTTTCCCTGAATTTTTTGGTAAATTTTCGAATTCCCTGAGTTTTTCCATTTTTCCAGGTAGTGTGGCAAACCTGGTTTGTTCATTTTTTTATATACTAACTCGATTTATTAGTATTTGGGGATAGGCTTAAGCTAAATCAAGGATGGAAAAGATTTTAGATGAAGTTATGCATATGGGGTACAGGGTGGTGATCTGGTACCATGTCTGAGTTGAGACGACGATAATCACAAGTGGGAAATCTGCCATTCACTGTTTTAACAATATGCAACAGGCTTGCCCAAGAGCTTTTACAGAGACTGACAATAACTTGAGACATAAGCTATTCAAATTCTTTTCCAATAGCCTTTAATACATTAATATATTAAGGAAAAGTTGAGGGAAGTTTCAGGGAAAAAGTGGGCCTTTGATTTCGATATGGTGATAGACACAATGTTGTCGATTGACATGGATAGGCTGAGATCGGTACATTACTTTTGGATAGTGTCTTAAAATTTTAGCATATTGGGAATTGCCTATATAAATAATAATATTTTATGCTTAAGTATCAGTGTTAGGGGTACGAGTGCTAGATGAACATCCAGTGTTGGTGTTAACACCTTTAAAGTTTTTAGCACCAAGAAACAAAATGTGTTAGGAAATCAGTTCCAATGATAGGTTGCTTAACATCTGCACACACCTATATGCATTATCAATGGATATTTAGTTCAATATGCTTTGTGCCATAAGTTGGTATTTTTGTTCCATTTACCTAAACAATAGTGATTTAAGGAAAGCTTCACCGACTGAGTCAACAAAATGCATGCATGCGTGAGCAACTCAGATGGGTGTTGATTGCCAAGTTCTATTCCTTGCAATAATGCACGAATTTACTTTCAGAATACAAATCAATTCAGTTTTTTCAAAATGTCACATTTATTGTTTTCAAGTGGTGTAATGATAATGCTTCTAACAGAACTAAGTATATCTGAAAGAATGGCAGCTATCACTTGGTTAAATTCTCTCTCAACAATCATGCGAGCCAATAGAAATTGGGCTTCAAAGCAAACAAACTATAGAAACAGACAAGATTTTTAAAAAAGTGGTGGTTTAAAACCACAAACTGTTCTATTTTATTATCATTATTGTTTGGCCTAATTGTTGTTCACGTAGTTGGCAATTGTGATATTTAAAAAAAATAAGAGCAACACAAAATACAATAGATCTTGAGTTAAAATTTAATTAAAAAAATATAGTAAATCTTACAAAAAATATTGAATTTTGATTAAAAGACACCAATACAGCATATGCATTGATAATACATGATGTGACTGACAATACAAATAAAAAAAATAGATAAAATAACTAACACCTGTTATGACACACATTAGAGAAACACGCAATAATTAAAATATATAAAATTTACTCTAGAAATAATTATTCCCAAACCACTCATAAATCTTGCTCAAAATAATCATAAGAACACAAAATTAAACTCACTTATCATTCGCTACAGGTGTCAGGAAGAGAGGAACAGTTGTTCCTGGGGATACCACCTGATAGTTAATTTTCTTGCCATTAATGAGAGCCTGTGAATGTTTATCATATATATCCACTGAAATACTTGACTGCATTTTCACACATATTAGCATTGGAACATCACTTAATTTCTCCAGTAGAGCCCGTTCTTCATGGCGGACTTGCAACTTTAAAGTGTAATCTCCCTTTTCAACCTTTAAGGAATACTGTAAAGGAAAAAATAATATCAGAATCCAATTAATAAAGAAGCTGATATTGGTGCATCAAACCTTTGTAATTCAAATAAACATGTTACAAGGAATGAAAGACATGTCTCCAATATGCACTTGTGGGTTAAAGTCAGCATGCCAGTTCAGTAATCTGAAGACCAAGATTTAATTCTGAGGCAAGACATGATTAAATTTTCAAGGAATTGTGTTCAGGACTCACAGTTTATCTACAATTGTAATCAAATTATAAATGGTGGAATATAATTCATCACTAATTTGGACTAATCAAGGCAATGTAAGGAACTAAAAGAATCCTTTCCATGAGCTCTTGCACTGGTGTGATCAATATATAAACCTGGGTTTGATTCCCAGTGACAGCACATAGAGATTTTCCAAAAAAAATCTTGCTCCAAAATTCCTAATGTCTTTAGAGTGGTAAATAAGATTAATAAAAAAAAAATTGCCCAAACAAATTTGCCAAATCATTATATAGATACAGAGCTAACAATTTCATTACAATGCAGAAATTTCCAGTTAACTGAAATGCACTATGCAAAGATATCTAGAGCATATTGCTCTGGATTACTGATACACAAAACAAGACATCCAGTATAGGACCTTTAAATATGATATAACCACTAAATCAAAAATCACAATGCTGGTGAGTATTACATTTGCACTGTATACTTTCATTAAGAATTGAACTGCGGTTAAGATCAAACAAAAATCATTAACAGCAATATACAAGTAATAAATTACCTCACTTAACACTTGAAGTATGAGCATTTGAACAGTATAAGATTACTTATAAGTTATTGTTAATGATTTCCCTTATACCCGAACCACAGTTTAATTCTTAATTAAACAATTTAGTGTAATATTCATCAGCATGCTGGTATTTCAAATGCAGAAAATAATAAACTAACCCAAATGACACTTGAAGTGCATGAATTTGAGCAGTGAGTGTCAAATGGTATATGATCCTTTTAAGTATAAATATCATAGCTGATGGCATGCAAATTTGAAAATGCATGAAAAAGAGAGGAAACTGGAAAATTTTTGAGCTGCATTGCAATAAAATTTCATGAAAATATTAAATTAAATTCATTTTAAAATGAATTATTCAAGTTACTCAGCTACTTAAGGACTTGATACAAAATACATTATTTAATTATATATTCGATATTTAGAGTTTCTTGGCTAATTTAATTTCATTTTGTATCTTTTAAAACTTATGGTAACAAAATATTTAGCATGAGAGAAAAGCTTTTAATTATCGTAAAGTACATCAAATACAATAAAAATAAAATTCATAATTAATGTACATACAATTGTGTAAATTTAATGCACCATTTACCGATTAAAATTATATTCAAACATTAACCAATTAGACATTGGTTGGATCTTTATTAAAATTTCTACAGATGACTCAGTAGATTAAAACAATTCAGATCACAGTAAACTTAAGGAGAAAAATTATCGTAAGGTAGGAGATTATGGAATTTTCACAATTTAAGTTTCATTGAGAGATAACAACGTTACTTACCTTAGTTTTCTTTAAGAATAAACCACCATAATATTCTCATAGCATTTCCTTCTTTTGTTCAACTCATACTAATCAACAGTCTCCAGAGCTGCATTTAACAGTAATGATCTAACAATTGTTCTTATTTTCCTCTACTGACTGAATATCTATTCACATTCAGCATTACTGAGAGAAACAGTCAAAACTGACATAGTGGTATAAGAAAGTCTTAAATATTTTCCCTTACTACAGTCACTCTGGACTTTTGAGATAAGAATCACTAGTGAATGACAGGGTTGCCGACTTTTCCAGGTTTTCCATGTGTGTTTCGAGAAAATTCCAGTCTATCCGCGTGTACGTTGCCTGTGCTAGGAGGTAAATTAATTATGGTATTACTTGTATTGCGTAGCAAATTCACTTCATTATTCAATAAATTCCAGAGGACATTTATTTTTAATTATTCTTAGTATACTTTGTTTGATAATTTTGTTTACTTTTCCACTTCAGAAACTTAATAAAATTTAAGATATATACATTGGATAACAAATGTATGTTTTATTTAATTATTACTCATGATCATCACCAGTTCAACACAAGGCTAATCCGGTCCTTATAAATCACAACGCAATGCTAAATAGTTAGGTTAGATTTTAGGTAAATTTAATTTGTGTGAGGTATGTTCTTAAAAGGCACCTTAACACTTGAAAACACAACTATAATTATAATAGTTGTTGTTTACTCCACTGAAGATTGAGATTAGATCTTCCCAATCTGGAATAAATAAGGCTTTTTTTGCAGACATTCTGCAGCTAAACAAAGAAAGAAATCTATTTTAATAAATGGAGGTATTTTATATTTATTTTGCAGCATACATAAGGAAAAAATATGTGCATTAAATTTCATCATGTGATGGTATGTCATCATACTGCTAGAATTAATTTCAGGATTGTGCCAGAGAAAATTTCCTGAAATTTGGAAACATTATTTACTAATAATAAATAAATTTAGAGGGAAGAAGCAACATTAAATTCTACAAATAACATAAAATAAAGATATTTACTTAAAAATTGAATTAGAATACTCAACATTATTTTAGCGAATATAGTTATTACATGGTTAGCCTAGATGACTGATTACTATTTTTTTATTTTACTGCAAAATGGCAAGGTATTTATTTATTAAAAAGGAAAAAAAAAGGCTTAAAAAGATTTTGCGGTAAAATTCTAGTATACGGTAAGGCTTTGGCACAATTTTGAAAATTGTCGCCAAGACCAAAATGACCAGTTTACTGTGCATCATTATGTCGCCAAATCCCATTGTACCATACATAGAGATTATTCTAACCAAAGAACGTCTATGTAAAGAAGAAAAGGTTCCATACAAGTAAAATGCTATTACGCCGCTAGAATGCGGAGGGAAAATTTGCCAAGGGATTTGGCGACGGAACCTGGCGGCCAGAATTTCCCTCTCCGCGATGTGTACAGGAAATTGAGAAACATGTGTTAAGAAGAAATGTTCTTTGACAAAAAGAAAGCTACGAAAATCCGTTTTTAAATTATTGCGAAAAATATAAGAAACGTTTTATCAAAGGACGTTTCTTTTTGGATTTTTCGCAATAATTTTAAAAACGGATTTTCGTAGTTTTTCCCCCCCTGAAAATAACTAATCCATGAATTAATTTACTTGCGCCAAAAAATATTTTCTTTTCCTTTAGAGTTCAACCACTTGCGCTAAGACTAAACTTCACGGTTGCAGTGAAGTGCGCTACAATATAACAAGCGGTAAACATTTACTGCCGCTCCGCATCTGCGAGTGCAATCCAGAGCTGTAACTCGAGAAATAAACAATCTCGTTGTTAGGCGACGTGTGCACCACGTTATTTTCATTTTTGCGATAAATGCTTATCGACGTGGTGTTCACGTCGCTCGCGGTTCGAGACAAAAGCATCTCGCCGTGCGTGGCACGTCTTTTTTCGCAAGTGGTTAAAGAAATTTTAAACGATATTCATTTTATGAACTCTTGATAACATAACCTTTGAACTTTGACACCGGTTTCGAGCTTTGGCGACAGATATATCACGCATGCACAGCTGTTTTCCCTCTATGATGGAACGGAGCCACGTCTGTTGCAGAGAGGTTTTTCTTCTTTACAATACATATTCTTTGATTCTAACCTCCATGGTACCGTATACTAGGATTAAACCCATTTTGTTTTATACAAGAACAGGTACTTTCTTTAATTCATGCACTGCACATGCGATTCTCGAGAATACTGGAAACCAAAAGTTGCGGGAAACTTGCTTTGCCTTTCTAAAAGACAATCAAATTGGAGCTGCAAAAATTGGCTCTATGACAGCTGCCCGAATGACACTCACGTGATACACAATTCGCCAAAAAAGTTATCTCTTCCGACGTCGGCGCAAAAGTCGCTTTTTTTGGCGGGATCATTGTATGAACTTCCCTGACTTTTCCAGATTTTGACAAAAATACTTAAATTCCCTGACTTTTCCCTGAATTTTTTGGTCAATTTTCGAATTCCCTGACTTTTTCCGGTTCTCCCAGTTTTACAGGTAGCGTGGCAACCCTGGAATGATGTATTTTTCATCCAAAATATCATAACACATCTGCAATTTAATTCATAAAATTCTGCTCAAAATTTATCAATTGCACTATCAGCAGTCTTGCTTCATTTTTACATAACATGATCGGAAACTTTCCAAGGAAAAAGGGTACCTGAAAACAAGGTCTCTGTGAAATAAGAAACAATTAGTGCAGCATGGATAAGAACAACATTCTTAAAAAGATATTATTACGAAATGTTTAGGTACGGTAAGATAGCTTCCCCACAAAGCAGGTTTAGGGTTGCCAGAAAATGGCAAATGAAGGCAAGAAGACCACATTTGGCGACAAAATTGATGATATGCCATAGACGGATGGAGAACCTTCTGGAACAAATTCTTACTGGTTTAGCCCAGAATGTTCACGAACGCAAGCCAAAAGCTATATAAACCCTGCCGGTACGCAGAGTTATTTAGTGTCTAGTCTAGCAAGCAGAGAGTTACTCCTAGGAAGTCCTAGCGTTATTCACTCCTAGCAAGTCTATCATGAAAAAAGAAGGAAAAGCTATGAGAATATTATGGTGGTTTATTCTTTAAGAAAGCTAAGGTAGTAACATTGTTATCTCTCAATGAAACTTAAATTGTGAAAATTCCATAATCTCCTTCCTTATGATGTTCAGCATAATTTTTCCCTCCTAGCAAGTGTCTCGAAGTTTAGTGCCGAGTTGGTCGTTGAGTGCATTGAGAGAGTCTCTTACTGTATCGCGAGCTAGTGCAACGTCGAGTTTCATCTTAGAAAGTATTCAGCTCCAAAAACAACTGAACCGAAGAGTCGGGAGCTGCACTCTCGTGTATTGTCAAGTGCATTGTGAGTTTTAGTACAGAGTCTCGAGTTCTGAGAACGACCGAGCAGAGTTGGGAGCTGTACTCTGGTGTTTTGCGTTATAGCCTTGAGGCTGTGTTGCTGATCGTTTCAGTGTGTTTACAGTAGTTCTTCGACGACTGTTAACGTGTTATTGAAGCTGTCTTGAATAATACTGGCCAATAAAGTGTGTTTTGATACTTCACGTGTCGTCGTTATTCACTCCAAATCTATGAACTCTGAAGAGAAAAACGTAAGAATATTTATGAATCATGTAGGCACAAACTCTAGGCAAATATTTTCTCACAAAACAATAGAAAAATCTTCTCACCATTACAGAGTTTATGAACAAGTTTCTCAGTTCCACAGCCAACAACCAAACCAGAATCAGTTTTCTGATTCAGGAGATAGATATGAAACATTTCAGTGGGAGACTTTTCCGTCAATACTTTCGGCAAGACAAGGATTGCAAGAGAATTTCTTTCAGCAATACCAAAATAATAGAATGTCATAGCTGCCAACACTGAAATCTGAAAAACTGAGAAATTTTGTAAGAAAATGGGGGAGAAACCAGAAGGTTATCATGCTGCAGGGAAACAACATTGCAAAAGTTGACAAACTACTCCAAACTGATTTTAGTTCATTTAAGAATGCATCGTTCATGTTACAGAACAATTTGTAATTCAATCCTGATGTAAAATAGATTAGAATTTAACTGGATATACTAAATTCTATGTTCTTTGGCTAATTTCATTTTTTTTTTCTTTCTTTTCATACACTTTTATATCGAGAAAATCCTGATCAGAGAAGGAAAGCTTTTATTTATCAAAGTACTTTCTAATGCAATGAAAAAGATAATTAGTGCACATAGTATTTGTGTGGTACATAGTAATGTACCACTAATTAATGCACATAGTAATGTACCAGATATTGAAATAAACAAAATTAAATACAAATTTTAACTGATTAAACATTGCTTTAATCTTCATAAAATATTCAACAGATGTCTACAGTAGATTAAGACAGCTCAAATAACATTTTAAAATAAAAATTTAATAAGATAAAATGTAATACAAAAATATGAGTCAGAAGAAATAAAATTAATACAAAAAATTATTCTGAAAATTATTAGATTAAAACCTGGGAGATTGGGTGATCTACCAGGAGGTGTGACGAAAAATCTGGAGAGTTGGCAGTTATGGAACATAAATTATGAATCAATGGGTCTTTGATTTGCAAAATATATTCATTTCATACAAGACATGTACAATGTTCACCAAAAATGAGTAAAATGTTCTTTAGAAATTTTTTGTTCATAGTTTGATAACACAGTAAATAATTTAATTACCTGAATTTTAGGATTATTATTTATAGATTTAATAGTTTTAGGAGAAATACTTTCAACTGAATTTTCCACCATCATCCTTTTCTTTGTGATAATATATGATCTCAGTGAGCCCATAGAAGACAGTGTATGAAAAGTATATTTGTATCTCATCTAAAAAACTCAGCAATAGATCTCATTGCTCAGACATACATATTAAACACTTTCCAAACAATCACCATCTGGTTTGTACATACTTTTAAAATCTTTCTTACCTCCTTATAATGGAGAAATTGAAAATTCTTGAAATTTTCATTCCTTCAGCTACTATTTTTCTAAATAACATGAAACACCTATAAGAATTTCATCTACATTTACCTCACAGTGAATTTGAACCTTTTCTGCAGTTAGATTAATGAGATATCATAAATAACCAATTACATGTAATTTAGGTTGTACCTCTTTTAGAATACAAACTATACCATGTTTCTGCCCCACCGTGGCAGAGGCATTGTCACAACCAAAAGCAATACAGTTTGCAACTGGAATGCATTTTGGTTTTAAAGTATCTAAAATCTTATTACCAATATTTATTCTACTCAAGTAACTTCCTAAGATAGAAATACTAAGAAAGCAATTTTCTACCGAATGATCTTTAAAGTTACTTTAACTATCAGAGGATATAATTTGTTATCTGTATCATTACACCCATCAGAAGAAATATTAAAGGGCTTGGCACATTACATTTAGCACATATCATGCTATTATTTTATTATTAAAACTGTTTTTGATATTTTCACTCTTTGGTCCACATACCTTTTGGTTTTGCAATATGAGGAAACATCTCCTTTTCCACTATGAGAAATTTTGAAATGCACTGGTCATATACAAAAATAAACATATGCTTTTTCCTTCGGCATCGAATTTGAATTCAAACTATTTTGTATAGGATTCTTCAAAGCTCTGGTATTTTTATATCTATATTACATTTCGATATGATCACTTAACTGGCAAATAATAAAATTAATTAGTAAAAACACTCAAGAATTGAATGAAACAAACAGCACTCAACAAATGAATGAAGTGAATGAAAGCAGCATAAAATAAAATTAAAAAAATCTTTTCACTTTAAATCAGTTACGTTTAGAATTCCTTCTTTTGATGAGTTTAGCAATGCAATGGCCCAGGTTCAATGTTTTGAATGAAAAACCTTTGCTACTCTTCACCTGCCTCACGTGGGTGGAAATGATGACGACTCATCATACTGACTTATCAGGTTTGTTCTGCAGTTTCATCAAAGACTACTCTACTGCACTGACCTTGGTTTCTCCCACAAAGGTTGAAGCTGCCACCGATGATGGCAGAATAAAAGACTACAAATTCAAGTCCAGGGAATTCAATGATGTAATGGGAGACCAGGAAATGTCATGAAAAACTGTGAGTTAGCAGCTATGAAACATCCCTTTTTCTATAAATTTGGAACAATTTTGAGATACATAGTAATTGGAAGAGGATTAAAAAAAAAGGAGCCTAAAATTATCAAAATAAAAATACTTCAAAAAGCGAAGCATGTTATAAATGCACAATGCAAATGCAAATAATAATATATTTTATGATATACTACCGTTAAGTAAACACAATACTGTTATAAAATTTAAAGCTTGCAAAGACACTAGAACTGAAATTCTTGTAGGTGTCCCAATGGTATCATTGGCAGTGCACAGAAGACACATAAATTAGTAATAAATGTAAAAGAATGTTTTGCTGAGTCAAAAGCATATGATTAGCCGTTCACTTGATGAAACAATCCTACAGTTATTACTAAATAACACCTAAACAGAATTAAATTATATGAGGGCAAAATGTAATACATTAATAAATATAGGCATTTAATCTACTTTATTTAAACCATATTCATTTAATCATTGCACAACTTCTTGTTTACCCAATAAAACGTTTTTGAGGTTCTATAAGGTTAAGTTAGCAACAGTTACTATGAGGACTGTCTAAATTTAAATTTTCCTGATCTGAGAAAAGAACTGCTTTTTATTTATTCGACCATATCATTGCAACTAACTAAATGCTTCTGATTAGAAAACACTTTTGCCTTAATTGTAACATAGTTATTTATTTATTAAGCATTAAGAATCCTTGCCAGATTAAGAAGCACGCTAGACAAGCAGTTGCCTTAGACACTAGGCTTAATGTGTAATTTCTTATGTGGTATTAATATCACATTAAAAGACACCAGATATGAAACTTCCAGGAATGCAATAGTATCTCCTTAATCTGTCGCTATTAGGTATAGTTGTGTAAGATAACTCTCCCTATATGACTTATATTTATCAAACTGAAATAAGACTTTTCTTACTTTTTACCTTGGTATCTAATTTTAATGCCTCTTCACCTTAATATAAACTGATTTAAATGATAATGAATAATTATCAATATTTTGATTCTATGCAATGAATTTATGATGCAAGCAAAAATTTTCATAGGGATTGCTGAACGATTTTTTACTTTACAGCTGTGATGACTTTGTATTCATAAACATAATTAACTAAATGCTATTAGTGCATTATTATCAAAACTTTCATTTATTATAATAAAATCATTCAACAACTCTATCCTTCTAATATCAATTACGCAGAGAAAAACTTAAATATCACTAATGCACTTTATTCTTTTTATAGGCTATACAAGACTAAATAAAACATTCACTTTCTCTCCTTTGCAATTTCTCTTTCTAAAACATTTCTTTTTCTCTAGCTCCATTGTTGTATGAATACAACATATAATACACATAAAATATAAGTTTATCCATTGCCTATATTATCAATATAGGCATATGTTAAACAGCAAATTGTTCAAAGTTTAATTTTGGAGAAGGGGCTATTTCTAAGCTGATGTGAAACTGTGTAGGATGTCACCAGCTCTTATTCAAGCATGATTCAGGTTTGGTTTGGTTTATTTGACTACTGCAAAGTATGCTAGGGCTATCTGCTTAGCATAATTCAAGGATCAATTGTTTATCATATTTAAAGATTTAGCTTGTGAAATGAAATATTATTAATTAAGCAAATAAGCCTATTAATAACTTACTTTAGAAGGATATGCATCACCAGCACCTATAAACTGTTTATTACTGTCAAATAACATCCACAGCTGTGACTCAAATTCTGATTCGTACAAAAGCTCCGAAAGCAAAGGAAAGGTTGGGGTTATATCAGTTGGTCTAGGCTAAAAAAAAAAAATAAAAATAAAAATAAAAAAAAAATAATTGAACTTATCAAAAAGCATGTTACAATAAATTTATAATTACAAGACAGATTTTAATTAAAGAATTAATAATGTAACTACATTGAAGAAATTTGCTAAGCAAACTAAATATTTAACAGATGACATATTTAACAGATGGTTCATAAAACAAAATTAATAAAATCCAATATAATTCAAAATTATTCATCAGTTATCCTGAGGAGTGTGAAACTAATGAGTGAAAAAAAAGCATGTAACACAACACGTACGGCAAGGGGAAGGGAACTTTATTCAACCTTATATGCACCAAAATGATAGCTGTGCAGCCTCATGCCACATTCTGTGCAAGTTAAAGATCTATTCTCTAAAAACTTAGGTTTCAACATAGGATTGAGCAGAGTCTAGATGATTTTCTCTTGCTTCTAAGAATTGAATCTTGTGTAAATAAAATAATTCTGGTTAGGTTAGGTTATTTGAGCATGGCAAAGCCCACAAGACTATCTGCCATGGGGAAGAGATACCTTCATAAAGGATTTTTTTGGGGAAAATAGTTCATATTTCTGTTACAAATGCAGAACACCATGAAAACCAACTATGCCACCAACCTATTCACCTGGGATATAACCCAGGTGAAATTCCCAGCATTCACCAGTCTTAAACACTCAGCTGCTAGTGGAGCCACCAAAAAAAAACACAAAAAAAAACAAAAAAAAAAAAAGTACTGGAAGAATCATAAAAAGTAGATAAAATATCAGAAGAATATCCTGTGTGAGAGAGAATGAATCTTTTTTTAATCTAATTTAAAATAGGTCAAACAATAACATACTATGACTATTGCAAACTTTCCTAAATTGAAACAACTTGTAGTAACATCTCTGCAAAATGAGGTGAGATCATGGTCCTGTTTGGCTGAAATATAATGCCAAATCTATTTCAAGCAAAACAAGGCAGTTTTTCATTAGTTCCTGTTTGCACAGTTTTCAGCTCAGAGCAGGTCATTATATAATTGTTCAAAGAAACGTCCCAGTAAGAATGTCTTTACGGTTTTACCAAACACAAAATTTTTAGTTGTCTTTTATCATGGGTTCTCCTGAAGAGCATATTTTCATGCTGTCACTATGATCTTTTCCTCCCATTATTATAAACAATATACATTTCACTTGAATTCTTAATGCTGCAAATTTTTTACATTTCTGTTGCATTTCAGAAGCCAGCTAGCTAATGACAATTCAAACCAACATGTAACAAATGCAGCATATGCTCCCCAATACACAAACTCTTAGGACGTTAACCTTAATAAATGTCTAATAGTGGCCAAACAACAAAGTCACCTAGGTTTTGACCTAGGTTTGATTCCAGATGAACGGGCTGGCTGTATAGACATTTTTGTGGTTTTCCCAATAAATAAGGTGCGTATGAGCCAATTTCCCTTAGACAGTTTTCTAAGAAGGCATCCCTTTCCTTATGTGGATAGCCCTAGCATGTTGTTGCATATCAATATTCACGTTATAAGTTTTAGAACAAGCCTTGTTATAATATAGAGGGAAAATGCTTCGTGAGTAGCCTGTGTAGGGCTTCTAAGTGAATAAAAAAGTCTTAGTACAAAATAAAATACTTAGTTTAAGACTATGAGAATCTTGTGTGTTCCTTCTCTTGACGAGTGACACATGCTTTGACATAATTGAAAAAAATCAACATATTCATCGACATACATTATTCCGAAATAAATGAAAACAAACAAGCCTAAATTTTTAAACAGCATTTATATCATTCAGGTTCCTCCATTTGTTACATGCACTGACAGCGTTATGGAGAATGCAGAATGCTTCAAATGCACTCTGCGTTCTCTATAAGGCAATCTGCATCTAGCTAATGCTAGCAGTATGTTTTTACCAGCATTATTATCAAAAGGTAATTTACCCACATTTTTATAGTAAGCAAACAGATAATGCCATTAATACAATTCAATAAAGTTTCCTTCTTACTCTTAAAAGAAAAAAAAAAAAATCCTGCAGAAACTAAACTATTGATTAAATAATTAAGCATTCAGCAAATGAGAACTGGCAAAGTTGAAAATGCTGGACTTTCAATGAGGATCAAATTCAGGGATTCCCAACCCTTTCCTTGCACCAACTCCTTTTAAAAGAAAGGTTTTCTTCATCAAGCTCTGACATATTTCTCTTAATATGCAGCATACAACTAAATCATAACACAAATAACTGCATTTTCTTTCTTGACTAAAGTTTGCTTCCACTATGTAATAAAAGAGAAAAGTCAATAATGTTGGTTCAGCAACAAATTTTATTTTGCTACATTTCTCTCAGATAACTTTTATACTTCAAAACCCATATGTTTTGACTTTTTAATTGCTTTATACCAATAAACAATTAATTGTCAACTTTATTAACAAATCTTTTGTTATCAAGTGGTTCTAGATTATGCCGACCAGATGCTGGTGCACATTTAACAACAGACTCCTTTGAAAATTTGATCACCCCCAGGTCAATAACGAGACAATTGTGAACCCCTGATCTGCAAATACAAATAGTTATTTGTACACGTCTCCTTGCACAGACATTAAGGAGTTGAAGGTTCTCTAGTGAAAAGAATTAAAGACCTATCAGCAACTGAGAACTGAATAAATTAAAACAATTATTTGTGCAACTGACTTCATTCTCAATTTCCATTCAAATAAAGTAGAAGTAAACGATACATTATTACTTAAAAAAATTCTAACAGTTAAATATTAGGTTGAGAATGAAAAAAGAAGAATCCCTTTAAGTTATCAGGTAGTAAACATTAAATCAGAAATATAACTTTAAGAAGCAATTGTATTTAACATTTAGCAGAGTCATTATATTTTAAAGAATATTTATACAGCAACTACTACATTCTTTTATTAAAAAATATTAATTTAATAATCAGTACTAAAATGATATTCCAATAAAATTTTGCAGTTTAAAGTAAATGATTAATTTACATATAATTTATCAGGCTGAAATTAAAGTCACTGGTCCTATTGAATGTGAGAAAAGTGATAAAGCACAAGCAACAATTGATACATATAAGGAAATACTAAATACAGATAGCCCTCCCACAACATGGCATCCTGTAACACGGTTTCGCTACAACATGATTCATAAATAGTGAGAACCCTCCTACAACACGGTTTTTCTATAACACAGTTTCGCTCTAACACAATAAGAAAGTTGCCCAAGCAATGTGAAGAAATTTAACGAACTCCACACGAAGTTTTTCCACATTGTGCAAAGCACCATTTAACACATAAGAATCCTTGTTTCGTAAGTTTTACCAGCTGTGTTCCAAGATCTGGAAGATCTGGACCGTAAGAACAAATGTCCTCAGATGAACAAATGACCTCAGACAACCCGTATAAACAAATGTCCCCAGATAACAATGAAGAAGCCTCACTATCACAGAAGGTGAACAACATGAGGTCACAATAAGTGCTCTAAAATGCACAACCTGCACATTCGGCTTCCAAAATTTGAATCCTCATCTCAATGGCCTGAAAACAAAAGTGTTTCACACTGCTGGTCGGCAGTCTGCGTCAAGCCACGGTGTGTTAAAGAATAACTTTTTTGTCTTTAAGACATTAAGTTTCAGTCCCAAAACATGTCCGATAAAGATTTTTAAAAAAAAAAAAAAAAAAAAAAAAAAAACAAAGTTTAAGAGGTAATTCATTTTTTTAGAACTACAGATACCAATCTTCGACCGTTTTTTAAAAGGCATCTCCCATTAGAAAAAGTTTTAATTGGAATGAAGAAACAAAAAGAAGTTAAGAAGTTCTGTTAAGAAAAATGAAAAAAAAAATAAGAAGTGCAATTGCTGCAGGACCTTCGACATCTGCAAAATGTGCAGTTCGTCCCCAGGGACGCAAATAATTGAGAAGATGGAAAAGGCACTTAGCATTTGGATTGATGATAGCTGTCAAAAAAGAATTTCGTTGAATGGTAAAATCATTAAACAAAAAAACACTCAAAATTTTCAAGCACCTCAAAGAACATAGAGAACTGTCTGTCAACCGAAATTTTCTGGTAAGTAGAGTTTGGTTCGAAAATTTCAAAAAGTGTTTTGCAATTTATAGCATAATAATTCAAGGAGAATCTGCATCGGCTAATTATGAAGCTGCAAGGACGTTTCCTGAAAAATGTCAAAATATTATAGAAGAACAAGTATACACAGCACTTCTCAAGTTTTCGATGCTGACAAAGGCCCACCAGCGGCCGAGCGGTAAAGTCGCTGAACACTGGTAGTTCGGTCTGAGGTTCGAATCCCGCGAACGGGCTGGCTGCATGGTCGTTTTCGTGGTTTTCCCCATGTGTAACGTGTATACGAGCCAGTTTCCCTTAGAAAGTCCTCCCTGAAGGCATCCCTGCCCTTAGGCAGATAGCCCTCGAGGCTTTGCCATAATCACACACACACACGATGCTGACAAAAATGCCCAGTAGAACCTTTATATCAAAAAAAGAAAAAAACTGCATCCTGATTTAAGGTCTCTAAAAATTGCCTAACGCTATTTTTGTGCAGTATGACTTTGGCCTTTATGACAAAACCCTTGTTAGTTTATAGATCTTTAAGTCCTCATGCACTTAAAGGCGTTAATAAAAGCACCTTACCGGTATATTGGAAAGCAAATCCAAGAGCTTGGGTAGCTGCAAATATATTTAAAGCTTTGCTTTTAAATTATTTTCTGCCAATCATTGAACATTATTTAAGGCAGAAATATTTGAGCTTCAAGGCGCTTATTACTTTTAGATAATGCTCCATGTCACCCACAAGATTTGAATCATCACAATGCCAAAATACTGTTCCAACCACCTAACACTACTTCGTTACTCCAAATATTGGATCAAGGCAGGGTTTCTTAAACTTTTTTCAGCCGTGACCCCTATTTATCACCGAGATTTTTTCGTGACCCCCAGGACCCCATAATATTTACGAAAATTTTGTGGGACCCC